AAATAATGCGGGTCGTGGTTTCAAATGGAGGATATTTTAGGATTGTGTTTATCGTGTTTTTTGGTGTACCTATCTATGGGCTCGAGGAGTTGGATTAAAATTATATGATTCTATATCTTGATATATCCGGAACTTCTGATTTGGATTTTCATGTGAAGGTGTGAATTTTGTCGAATTGATTACTTATAATTTTTAAACATGTCGAACATGTCTTAAGGCGGAGAGATGGTGATATTTGTATTTGATCTCTTGTTTTTATTGCGTGGATCATTGCGAAACGGATAACTTGAATATAATGTGGATAAATGATATCTCTTTGAATTTTTGTCGAGGAATCAACGAAATAACCCGAGTCTTGACGAGCTATGGCGGACGAGCTGTTGAGTGTCGAGGACAAAATGAACGAGCATAGATCCATAAAAGGTGGGTGATAAGGAAGGACGAACCTGGATGACATCGAGCACCGAGGCGATTTCAAAGGCAGAAATCATTCTCTCTTGGAGAGGTAGGATAATGGGAAGTGATATTCAAGATCTTCAGATATGAAATTAATCCCAACTCTTGTTTGCGGTCAAGTTCGACCGACACAATTTTGTGGTACATTGAGTATCTTGGCATTCTTTTTTGGAGGAATGTTCATTATTTGAATATTTTGGGCGAAATGTGGATGAGATTGTGGTGTATATGGATATGTTTGAAATTATCATTTTAGTGACTAGCAAATTGCAGAAAATGAGGTGTACGTGGAGCATCGAACAAAACCTGGCATGACTAAGGCCTTCGGGCTGGCCAGTTTCAAGTCATCATGACTAAGGAGCTCGGTATTGGGAGTAATTCATCTAAATTTTCATTTGGTGCATTTGTTTGATGGTCATTCGTAGCTGCAGAGTATGATTTATTGTAATTGTCTATTGAATTCATGGTTATGTGAAATTCTGGTCGACTGTACATTGGAGTGGGTGTTTATGTGATTGCATACCGTGTTAAAGTGTTTTTATGTAAATTTAGGTGTGATATAAAACCATGTGGACCAATGTGATAGCCTTGATTCATTAATCTCTTGTCATGGTTGCTAGCGGGATTGCAAATGGGATGATGTGGATAAAATACGACTAATGAAATTGTTGGATTCTTGCTGAGGAAAATACATAAACAGGAGGATTGGCTATCTACGTATACTGCATGGTTGCAGTGAGGAGTGGACAGCGGGAAGTGAACGACAACACAGGTCGTCATGCACAATCATGAAAGGGAGGTCGAAAAATATACTTGATTTATTTTGTTCGATATAACTATGCATTTGATGAGGCTAATGAGAATGATCGATTATTATTCTATCTCGTGGTGTTTGGTGTGTTTTCTTGTCGACTTCAGCGGCAGGTCGAAGTGTTTGATCAG